CAATCCATTTGCAAATTTGCACTGCTTCAGCACCTCACTGAAACCCTCGCAGAGCTTGAGTTCGCCCTGGTTCTGGGCACATTCCAAAAACTGTTTCATCTCATAGTGGCAAGGACCAAACTGCTGCTGCTGCTGGTATACCGGTGGGCTCCCTGAGGCTCCTGGTAAGTGATGTCAGGCCTGGTGGCCTCAGTGCCGCTTCCCCCACTGAAGCCTCCAGTGCTTGCTTGGCCCAGCGTGTGCCCCACAGCAGAGTCCACAGCCACACCGGCTGCTGTGGTCGCCATCTGGGCCATCAGACCGGGTTGTCGGGGCGCAGCAGCGGGTGAGCCGACCGCAGTTGGTGGGGCTGCAGCTGGTGAGTGGCAGCTGGGGCTGGCCTGGGGGCAGCTCTCATTTGAGGGGCTCTGCTGGCCAGCGTGGCCACGCGGGAGGTACGCCTCCGGCTTCCATGGGGCATCGTAACTACGCAGCGGGGCGGCTTCTCGATGCGGGAAATGCGGAGGGCAGAATCGAGCGGTTTCTTGAGTTTCAACATTTTAAAGAGATTTTTTTTCCCCCCAGCAGATTTGTTCCTATCTCCCATTGTAATGTCATTTGTTTTCTTGACTGTTAGTTCCAGGAGTGTTGAAGTAAAATGAAATCATTGACAATTTCAATATTTTCATTTATCATGATGTTTATTGGTCTAGTTGTGAGGATTTTTTTGTTTGTTTTCTTTATGCGGAGGTGTAATCCATAGTGAAGCAAAAATCCGTGATCTTATTGGTAAATGCTTCAAGTCCTCTTCCCTTTTCCCAAAGAAAACTTTCACTATCTATATACTGTAGATAGATGAGTCTTCTTCCAATCCTGATGCCATGTTCATCTTCATACAGACCAGCTTCTCAGATTATTTGCTTAGCATACAAGTGAATTAATTATGATGAAATTAGCCAACCCTGACATAAACTTTCTATGTTTTAAACCATGTTCTGTTGAGCACTTCACCATTTGATTCACCTAAGGACTCTCAAGGAAAGGTCTAGTGGTCTTAACGTATTAATTTCAACAGGAGTTGATGAGCAGCTAAGCTTTGAACTTTATTCTGGTATGAAGAGCTGTCAAGTGCGGGGCTCCTTTCCTCAGTGGTATAAATTTTGGGGTCTAGGACACTGGTCTTTAATTTTGGGTGTCTATTGCAGTGACCAAGAAGAATTAAAAAATTGCTGAAGCATAAATTCTGCCCTAGGGTTTTTGCTAGAAATGGTCTGGGGCTTGGTGGCCATGTGGTTAAAGCAGTCAGCTGCTAACCACAAAGTTTGCAGTTCAAACTCCCCAGCTCCTTTGGAGGAGAAAGGTGTCACAGCCAGCTTTCATAGAGTTGCACACCCTTGGAAACCCTGTGGGGCAGTTCTCCTCGCTCCTGTAGGGTCACCCACTGTGAATTGGAATCGATTTGATGGCAGTGAGCTTGTGTTTTTGGGGAGGTGGGGTGTGTATGTGACTAAAACCAAGCAATTGCAATGTGCAGCCAAGATTGGGAAGTACTGCTTTAGGACTTAAATTTGCAATCAGCTACCCCACTGAAAGCCTTTAGCAAAAAAGGCTGATTCTTTTTAACTAGCTCAAAAAGCATTATTATAAATATCTTGTTTCTAAGAGGGTAGTCATCTTGGGTAGATTTCTACTTTCTACCATGTTGATTTCCTCATGTGATCTGAGAACTACTTACATCATAATCTCAACTGGTGTACTTGTTGAAATGCAGTGTCTTGGGTTCCACTCCAGTTCTGTTTTTGTTTTCTCTCTGAATTTTATTATTGTTGTTGTTTATTATTATTTATTATTAATATTGTCACTATTGTTGAATATACACAAGAACACACCAACACAATAGGTTTTGCATGTACGACGTAGTAGTGACATTGATTACATTCTTCTAATTGAGCAACCAGTCTCACCCTTCTTCGTTGCATTGTTCCTTTCTTACTAGCATAAACTCACTGCCCCCCAAAGGGTCCTGGCTCCTATTTTGAATTGTAATTGTCCATTTGATCTAATATACCCACTGCCATCTACTTCAGTATAACTCATCATCTACCCTGTATGACAGAGTAGAACTGTTCCAGAAGGTTTCTAAGACCATGAATCTAGTCATGGAAACTATTGTTTGGTTTTAGGGAGACTTTAGGGAATATTTTTGGTTAAAGCTTTAAAGATTATCTTGGGTTTATCCTCCTGCCGTGACTCCAGAAAGTCTAGAGTTTCCTTCCTTCTCTGGTCCTCTTGCTCAGGGTTGGTCAGCAAATTGTGGCTTGCAAATCATATGCGGCTCTTGTACATACACGTGGTTCTGAAGTAAAAGAAAATAAAGTTTAGTTGCAGTTAATTAAATTTTAAAGGATTTTATTCAGATAATGGTGATTTCATTTGTTTGTAAAAAAGTATGTTTATGGCTCTTGAATAATTTTTAAATTAGTCGGAGGGCAAGATTGGTTCTTCCATCTCAAAAGTTTACCTGCTCTAGCCGAATACAACCAGTTATTTTGCCTTGGATGGCTGCTTGCAAGCTTTTAAGATCCCAAGTACTATCCAAAGAACTAGGAGTTAGAACAGAAGCCCTAAACATAATATTAGGCCAATTAAATGGGCTTGTCTTATGAAATCACGAGCTGTTCCATGAAATCAGTGACCTTAAAGGTCCAGAGCAAGGAAGCAAATCCCATGAGTGTTTCTTTACATAGAGTAGCTGCAGCAGTTCTTCTTTTGTTTTGTTGTTGTAAATATATATGTCACATAACTCTGGCCAATTCAACTTTTTACAGGTTTACAACTTAGACAGCACTTAAAATAATTGACTGTGCAAACCTACCCTCAATCAATGTGATTTTTCCATCACTGTTAACTCCCCCCTCTCCCTCGCTCTTGCCTCTAGTAGTTAGCCACTAGTAAACTTTGGTCTCTACATTGTCCTTTTCTTGTCTTTTTATGTAAGTGAAGCCATACAGTATTTGCCCTTCTGTGATTGGCTTATTTCACTCAGCATAATGTCTTCAAGCTTCATTCACACTGTAGCATTTAAAACTTCATTGCTCGTACTTGCTGAGTAGTATTCCATTGTATGTGTTCGTACTCCGTTGTGTTTATCCATTCATTTATTTAGTTGATAAGCACAAGTTTCCATCTTGTGGCTGATGTGCACAATGCTGCAGTGAACGTTGGTGTGCACATCCTTTGTTGCGGCTGTGCTCTCAGGTCTTTTGTGGAATTGTCAGGCTCTATGGAGGCTCTCGTTTTAGTTTCTGGAGGAACTGGCACACGGTTTTCTTAAATAGTCACCATTCTGCATTCCGACCAGTAATGAGTAAAGGTTCCATTGCCCTTTCATTTCATTTTCCCATGAACTTTTTAGAACCCCTTTGCATTAGACAATCTTTTCTTTAATGTCTTTCATCAGTGTTTTATAGTTCTCATTGTGTAAGTTCTTCATGTCTTTAGTTAGATTTAGTCCTAGGTATTTGATTGTATAAGATGCTATTATAAATTGAATTGTTTCCTTAATATTCCTTTCAGATTTCTTCTTGTTAAAATTCAAAAGATGAAACTCACTGCTATAGAGTTGATTCTTGTTCATAGCAACCCTATTGGATAGAGTAGAACTGCCCTTGTGAGTTTCCCAGACTATACATCTTTGTGGAACTGACTCATTATTTTTCCTCAGAGTGGCTGCTGGGTTCAAATTGTTGACCTTGCTGTTAACAACCCAATGTATAACACACTATGACATGAAGGCTCCTTTGTAAAATTTAAACATTTATATATAAATATTTTGTATATATATAGATAGATATAAATAGATAAGTAATTGAATGTATGCATAAATGCATTATGTATAATCAGTCATATAATATGTCTAACACATATACACTGAGGGGCCTGGGAACATGACATCCCAGGAGCAGTGAGACGAGTTTCCGATTTGTTGACTTCACCTGTGACTTGGAGACTTGAATGGCATCCTCTGAACTCACACATCTGTATGTGGAGGCTCTTTCAGGCCCTTGTTTTTCTCATGGGAAACAATACGAAGAGCAACAGAATTTATCTGGGGATATATTTTATTGACTACATTTTCCAAATAAACTTTCCCTCTTAACTATCAAAATTTTTAAAAAATATTTTGACTTCTATTTTTTTTTTCCTATTTAAACAGAATTTGTTTTGTTTTTGGATGACTAAGGTTCTCACTTTGTGAATACTCACTGTTGGGTGCTAAAGTACTGTGTGGGCCTTGGTCTACTTTTAGCCTTTTGGAATTTTTGTTTTGGTATGAGCCCTGACCGTCTTATTTTCAATTCTGTTGATGCTATACCCTCTCAAAACCAAACCCACCACCGTGGAGGGATTCTGACTCACAGCAACCCTGTGTAGGGTTTACGAGGCTGTACATCTGCATGGGAGCAGATAGCCTCATTTAGCTGACTCAGGAAGACTGGTGGGTGTGAACTCTTAACTTTGTTGTCAGCAGCCCAGTGCCCAATCCACAGCACCACCAGGACGGCTTCATCAATCTCATAGTGCCTGTGTTTAACACTTTGCAAGTTTGTTCTTTCTAGTGTGCTACAGCCTTATGGACCATGACATTTGGGTTGCCGTGACACACCTTCTGACACATTTGTGTTGCCGTGAGCTGGAGTCAGTATAACGCACTTGACAATAGTCTCAATGAGATCTATGTTTTTTTAAAAACATTTTTGATGTTATGTATTATAACTGTCCTGAAGGATGAGATTAAGAGGTGGAAACTTTACCATATTAATATGGTGCACATAGACCCCTTTCTGTTTAATTCAGGACTGTGGCTAGATTTCAAAGAATTCTTTTTTTAAAAAAAAGGAAAATTACTAGAAATAAAAGTTGGTTCATCTGTCACTTTCCTAGCCAGCCTTCGTATCTCAGATGAAATAAATCATGAGGTTTTAAAAGAAAACTGCCCTGACCTTTTTTTTCAATTCCAGAGCTCCAGAGATTATATTGGGGTTGCCGTTTTGCGAAGCCATAGACATGTGGTCGTTGGGCTGTGTGATTGCAGAGTTATTCCTTGGATGGCCACTCTACCCAGGAGCCTTGGAGTATGACCAGGTAATAGCTCTCTCTTGATAATCTAGTAAAAGTGGTCAGAAATAAGATTAATAATAGATTTTAGGAATATAAGATACTAGGTGTATAATACATGTGAATTTTTTTTAAAGTTTTCAAACTTGGCATATAAAATTTAAATCCAAGTTCTCAAACTAATCTTTGATTAATAAAATGATACTGAAGTGTAAGGTTTAATAAGCAAAATTACAATTTAAAGGTCCCAAAACCAATTTGGTTTTTTTTTTTTTTATGTGTTAGAAAGAGTTTTATATCAAAGAGCAATTCTATATTGAGAAAACATCCCAGTCCAGATCAGGTCCATAAGTCCGATATTAGTTCCTGTGTCCGATACTAGTCCATAAGTTCCTCTTCAGATTCACGTAGCACATGCCATGATGGTGAAAGGAGGAAGATCACCTTTAGGTGGAAAGTCTGTGGATCCAGTGATGGTGGAAGCATCTCCAGGGCTCTGGCTGCCACCAGAGTGGCTCCATGTGGCTTGTCAACAGGAATGTCAAGCAGAGAGAGTGTGTGTCCCACCTCCAGGGAGGAAGACCAGAGTTCCCAGAATTCTCAGGAGGAAACCATGCCCACACAGAGCCTCACTGGCTATGACCTGATTGACAGGCCAGACTCCACCACTTTGTTCAAGTTGACAAGAGATTATGTAACTGCCACAACAGTTTTCCTTGATCTTCCTCATCCTTTCTAAAGTTCTGTATATTAGAAACCCCTTATGACCTTGTGCCAAAGGTCTCCCATCTAAATAAAATATCTTTGCCTTCCTCTTAACATATTTAAGACTATAGCAAATGTTTGCTTTAAAATGCACATTAATCATAATAGATAGTGCGATGTGAGAACAAACCTAGCAGTGATAATGAGAGAATGACTAACTGTGGTGGTTAAAGTTCTGTGCCAATGTCAGCTTTTCTAAAAACCAGTTTTATTAAAACTCTTGGGAGAAGCTTTGTATTGGCTTCTTACCCTAGAGACATCTAAAGAACTGAATTGTATCTCTTTACATAATTGTGCTTTGCTCTGGTGCCAACTTTTAGTTAACTGTTTGCCCTCCAAGGCATCACCAAAGACTTTTGGTTTTAAACCAACAACCATTATTGACCTTAAATACTTCAGTCACTGGGACCCTTTTCGCTGTTTTCAGTTGTTTTTGAATGATATGCTAAGCCTAGGTCAGCACAATTTAAATGATTTTAGTAGAATTTAGAAAGGTACTTCATTAAAAGCATTCTTTATTATAGTTTTTCTGGTATGTGTGCTAAAGGTATAAACACTATTGCTTGTCATCTTACTCCTTCTTTGTAAGAGACTTGTTATTAAATAGATACTTTTTAAAAATTAAATTAAAAGAGATTCATAGTGATCTTATTAAACAGATACACATTTAACTTTTATTTTAGTGGAAAATGCTAGTCAAAACTAATGAAGTATTTAAATTAATTTTGTCTCTCTGAAATTGGTTTATAGTGGGTTATTTTTAAAAGACAAAACACTAACATTTAAGCTAGAAATTATAATTAGAGAAATTTAAAGTATACATGGCACAATAAGTTGTACCTTAACTCTAATTTTTGGTACTTAGTTTTCTATATTAAAAGTGATATGAGAGGCAATTAATTTGGATGAATTAAGTGTTCCTGAGGTACTCTCAACATCATTTAATATTTATTTATACATTATAACTGTCTTTTGAAATGACTTTGTACTCTTCTTATTTTTATACCACATTTTCTATCTTCCTCGCCCAGCCCTTGTATTTAAGATGCCTCATGAAAGACAGTTTCCAGAAAGATTTCCTTTCTTCCTCGTTTCCTTCAGTGAGCCTCACTGCTTTTTACTCAGAGACTAACTTCTTGATACAGATGCTAAACTATCTCTAGCTCTGGAAGAATTGCTCCTCTAGCAGGAGAGTCACACGATTGATCTCTTAGGTGCTAGAGAAGAAATGAGATGTCAGTCAAACACTAGAAAGGCATCTTTGGCTTTGCAGATAACAATTTATGCCAGGTATAGTACTCTGGGACAGGACTCCATCTAGTGGCAATTTCAGACTGGTCTTTACAATTCTACTCTTCAATTGCTGATGTTAATACTGAAAGAGAGCCAAAGAGATTATTTAGTTAATTCCAAAGGACTATTGTGATTGTAAAAGGTTATTAGCATATAACCTCAGTAATTGGGGGGGGGGGGAGATGGTTACAAACAGACCCAGTAGAAGAACATCATTTATGTAAGTTTTAAACTATGTGGATACGCAAACTACAATGGGCTTTCATGAAGATAATCAGAGAAGAAGCCCAAACTCTAAACCAGACCTATTGCTGATGAGTCTCTCATGACTCGTAGCAAGCTGTGGCAGAGTTGAACTGCCCCATCTGGTTTCCAAGGCTGTAACTCTTTACAGAAGTAGACTGCCTCATCTTTTTCTCTCTCAATCCAGGTTACACTCATTTCTCCTCTGGCCTCATCCCCTCATCATAGTTATATAGCATTTAAAAAATGTACACTTTCAATTTCCTGCTGAAATTTCTTTAGCAGTTTGCCATTTGCCAGTGTAGGAAAGCCGAACTTTTTACTGATGAAGTTCCTTTCCCGTTTTCACTTCAGTTCTATCTCTTGCCATTGTTTCTGGACTTTTAACTCCAGGGTGGGTGGATTAGGTTCACTTTAACTTTCTATAATTAAACATATGTTAACTCTTAGCCAGTGAGTTCTTCCCACTTCCCCCCAGGGGTAACTCTTATTTTTGTCCTTAAAACCCAGTTTGGACATTATCTCTTCTGGCACCTTTTTTGGCTGTAGTTATTTCAGGTACTGCTTCTCTCTGTCTTTCCGTAGTGCATACCATTCAAAGAGCTAAGACACTAATTGTTAATTGTATGCTCCCCACTAAACTGAATTACGTAAAAAACCGAGGCTGTCTTTTCATTTGTGCTCTAATATCAAGCTTTGTGTTTTTGATATACAATAAGTGTTCAATCAATGTCTATTACATGGAAAAATAAAGTCTGCGTTGTAAATTATTTTTCAGATTCGATACATTTCTCAGACTCAAGGTTTACCAGGAGAACAGTTATTAAATGTGGGTACGAAGTCCACAAGATTTTTTTGCAGAGAAACAAATATTTCTCATTCTGGTTGGAGATTAAAGGTAATTCACACACACACACACACACACACACACACACACACACACACACAGACGTTCTTTTCAAGATGCCGCATATGTATGGATAAGAACCTTGCTTATTTTTATTTTATTACATTTCTTTTGAATTTTCATTTTTATCCTGTCTTTAGAGGAAAGGACTCTTAAGAATAACTTAAGAATAATCTGTAACCTAGGAAGATAATCTTAACTCATTTTTTATGCTTCTTAATCTTTTATAAGTATAATATCCTTTGTGTGTCTATTTCAGCTTCTCTATCCAATTCTACATTAATGAGGTTTATAGAGCAAGGGCTGAATCTGACCACTTATTATCACAAGTGCTTACTTTATTGTTTAGATTTTTCCAGGGTTCAATAAGTCTCAGTGGCTAACGGGATAGTTAATTAACAAATTTGATTCTATATATAATAGCTTTCTTGGGTTGGAGTTCACTCATTGTGGGCTTGATCCTTGGTCCTTGGGCCAGAACCAAGGTCGTCTGGGTTTTTTTTGGTATTAAAAGAAATGCATTTCTTTTTTGGTATTAAAAGAAATGCATTTTTGATGGTAACGTAAACAACAACAAAAATACTTTATTTTGAATTATATGAAAGTTTACAGAGCAAATCATCAGTTTACATTCCCTAATTCACACATGTTTTGTTTCAGCTCGTCTATTGTAGTCCCCTCAATGTACTGCCACTTAGTTCATCTCTTCTGTTTTCTGTGTCTGCTCCTCCTCCTTTCCGAATCATCTGAACTCTGTCTTGGATAAATGCTGCCTTTTTTTCATCTTAATTAATTGACTTAATGAGGGGGAGCTCCATTCTAGACCTGAATGGTGACTAAGGACCATATCCTTGGGAGTCCCACCTGTCTCCATCTCTCCAATAAGCTTGGTCTCTTTTATGATAGTGAATTCTGTTTCCTGTGAAACTTTTGCTTACGTTAGAATATTCAATGTATTAGACTATATGTTAGATTAAAGAAATAAACAGTTACAAATGGTGGTTGACAATGTATTATTTTCTCTCTTTGATATATTCAATAAGACTCTAGAAGAGCATGAGACAGAGACAGGAATGAAGTCTAAAGAAGCCAGAAAGTACATATTCAACAGCTTGGATGATATAGTGCATGTGAGTATCATAGTCAAATCTGGCAACTCTTGTAGCCTGGAAGGCCACGGATGCCTAAACAAGTCAACAATTTTCTAAAGAGTGTAAGTGTTTGCTGACTTTTCAAAGGAAACAGATTCTGAGCTTCAGGTGTGAAATTGCATTTGTCTTGATCAGATTTTTAATTTATACTCTCCTATTCTTTGGTTAAAAAGTACTTTCTTTTAAAAGGAAAATTCCAAGCAAACAATTTTCTTTTCCTTACATCCCATTGTCAAAAGATACTTGTTTCTTTAAAACAATTTTTTTCTCCTACTTCAAATCTCATTTAATATCTCAAAACATTTTGAGCATTTGTTAGGCTTAATTCTGTCTTGTTTTTAGATAATTGTAGTTCCTTGTTCTTCCCTTTTAAATTGTGAAACTTTAACATGCATTATCCTCTATGGTTTATTTTTTGTTTGGTGACTTGAAATATTGATTTTTTTAGGTGAACACGGTGATGGATTTGGAAGGAAGTGATCTTTTGGCCGAGAAAGCTGATAGAAGAGAATTTGTTAGCCTTTTGAAGAAAATGTTGCTGATTGATGCAGATTTAAGAATTACTCCAACTGAAACTTTGAACCATCCTTTTGTTAATATGAAACATCTTTTAGATTTTCCTCATAGCAACCAGTATGTTATTTTCACAATTATTTAAAGTAATTCTGGAAAAATAAGAATACTAGGTCTGTAGAAAATCAGTGTGTTAGAAAAGTGATTTTATTTTCTCATTGAATTTAAGTGAATGGAGTCAAAAGAGGTTAAGCTAGCCTGGCCAGGTTCACACAGAGGTGTAAGTGGCTGAAGAGAGCTAGAATATAAGTCTGCATTGCAGGCATCATCTTCTCTAAAATGCCAAACTGAAAATAAAAATGATCTTCGTTTTACATTAAATTCTTACTTTTAACCTCCAGGATAGTATATAAGGAAATGTTCACAGTTTTCTCTCATAAGACATATTTCAGTTTTCATAGACCTTAGGTTTCTATTCTGTTTTGAGTCTCTTCAGATCACTTGCTTTCTCTCTCCCTCCGTTTGCTCTTCTTCAGTGTGGAAGGGAAGGAGATAGTTTATGTGTTTGTAGAGAAGAAAATATGTTCCAGTTCAGAAGGCCTTACCAGTATTACTTTGGGCAGAAATTTTGAATTTTTCAGTCCTCAGTCTACTTGTGTTTGGGATGAAAGGAGTAAAATAAATGACATAATAATTGCTTTTGCAAAATAATTTTGAAAGATTGAATAAAGTAGACACAGGGATGAACCAGTGTCTACTATAATGAACTGTCTTTAAAATTAATATTTCTGTACATCCCAGCTACATTTTCCTTCAAACATTAAAAAATATCTTACTGTGATAACCGCATAACTTATTTTTTAAGGAGAATTAATTTCAAGAAATTTGATAAATATTTAGGGTAAGGATCATAAATTGATTATTTGTTTATAGCCCCAAACTTCTTGTTTTGTTATCTTTAGGAATACTACAGCTTTAAGATATACTATTACTTGATATGAAATCTTATCCTTTGTCGTAAGATTTAATGGTAAAAAAAAAATTGGGAAACAATCTGACCAAGTAACAGATGATCGAATTTGATCAGGAACAGTTTTTAAATTCTGTGAATACACATTAATTTTATACCAACTCTAAGCATCTGAAACAATATTTTAATTACCCATCATGTCTTCTTTTGCAGTGTAAAATCCTGTTTTCATATTATGGATATTTGTAAGTCTCATCTAAATTCATGTGACACAAATAATCACAGTAAAGCATCACTTTTAAGACCAGTTGCTTCAGGCAGTGCTGCTAATCTGACGGCAAATTTTACTAAAATTGGCACACTAAGAAGCCAGGTAAGCATGTATAGTGTTTAATCATTTACATTCCTCTTTTCTTAGACCTCTTGATTTTGCTTTGGCACTACACAGTGCTTCATGTGGGCAGGTAGGATTTAGAGTGCTGATGAGCTCTGACTATGGCTGCCCAGGCCAACAAGTGGGACGTAGTTAGTTGAACTCAGCTTCTTTATTTCGGTGTTTTTCTTCTCTTCCGTATCTTTCACCTGCCCTTGTATGCCACAGTGCTTCCAGGAAATAGGGTTTTCTTGGTCAGTTGGATTAGTTTCAAAGTTTTAGTTTGGTCAGTTTTCCTTTGGTGCTAATTTCTAGACCCATTTATATCACAGCATTGAAGAAGTGTGTGTGAGTGCCATAATGCCTGTGTAACACAGTGCTCACTGCTCATTGCAGGCGCTAACCACGTCCACGCATTCCGCTGTGCACCACGGGATGCCTCTGCAGGCGGGACCTGCGCAGTTTGCTTGTGGTGATGCTTTCCAGCAGACACTGATCATCTGTCCGCCAACGATCCCAGGTACTCTTCACGGACACTGGATTCGGAATGCAGGCCTGTGTTATTTTAGAGCACATTTATTTATCCATTAAGTACACTGCGTACTTTTTGCTGCATGTAGTGCTACATGTGGATTTCATTTAAGTTATTCAGAAGTCTCTAGGCCGGTGAGACTTTTCATGAAGTTAGCATTTTGACAAATGGATGAAATGGTGTATGCAGGCACTGTACAATCCACAGGATATGTGCCCTAATTGAAATTAGTGCACTTGGAAAACTACAGGTTGCCCTTTTGCCGTAGCCAAATCAAACCCACTGCCAGTGAGTCAATTCTCACTCATAGTGACCCTATGTAGGGTTTCTGTCTCGGTGTCCGAAACTGTCAGTCTTTACGGGGCAGGTAGTCTCACCTTTCTCCTGCAGAGTAGCCGATGGGTTTGAATTACCAACCCTGAGGCTAGCAGTCCAACACTTTACATTCGGTGGTGTCCCTCGTTCATATACAATAGCAAATGGAATGTTTCAGTGGAGTGGATGACAGAGCACTTTGGAGCAGGCTAGACATTCTCAAACTGGGAAATCTTTTAGAGAACAGTAACAAGCTCTGCTGCAAGATCCACTGAATTTTCTCCTTGCTAGGCTTTACCATCAACTTTCCCTTTGCCAAGTACATTACGAATGGAACGCTCAATGCCTGTTTGAACTTGGTGGTCCCACTGTATGATGTAAATACAAGTCCCGGGGGTGGGGGGGCAACACCTAAAAAAGCCCCACTGCCACTGAGCTAGTTCTGACTCAGTAACCTTATATTGTAGAATGCCTCCCTATGGTTTCTGATACTGTAAATATTTACAGGAACAAGCAGCCTCATCTTTCTCCCAAGGAGCAACTGACTTCTTTGAACTACTGACCTTGCAGTTAAATCAGGATATCTGGAATCTCGTTCTATTCCTGCTATTAACTGTGTTGTGTCATTGCAGACCAGTATCCTAATCTTAGTAACATGAAGCAGGTTGAGTTGATGATATCCTACTCATTTTTAGCCCTATTATTTCTAGATTCCGAACATTATTTTAAATTATTGGTAGTCTTCAGACTTTTCTATTTTTTATATCTGCTTCATTGCCTAATAAAAAGTTTAGAACATGTTTATTGACTTGATTGGCTGCTAAGGAGATGTGAAATAAGTTCATTAAAAACAGACAAACAAAAAACAATTCTTTTTGTGCGTGTGTGAATTGGGTGAAGGTTTACAAGCAGATCCTCAATCTTATATTCATTAAGCAATAGACACCTTGTTCCATCTTATTCATTACAACCCCCTCGATGTATTGTCACTTACCCCACTCTCTCCCTGTGTTTCCTCCTCTTACTCCTCTTTCTTGTCTAGCCTTTCTGAACTTTGCCCTTGAGGAAAAGCTACTTTTTAAAAAAAATCTCAAATGGTTGATTATTCTAAAATACACATACCTCATTGTCGGATTCTTCCATTGTCAACCTGTCTGTTGTTTGGCTGAAAATGGAGCCATGGGGGTGACTTTAGTTCCAGACCTGATGGTGATCAAGCAGGGCCATAGTCGTGGGGTTTGATCAGTCTCTAACCAACCCATGAGTCTGGTTTTTATATTTTTAGTTTTATGCCACATTTTTTCCTGCCCACTCTGTCCAGGACTTTCATCTTTCTCTCAGGGAATGACTGGTGGTTTCAAAATGCTGACTCTAGTTAGCAGCCCAACATGCAACCACTATGCCGCCAGGGCTCTTCCATCTAGCCGTGCTTGTGTACCATTTGTTGGTGAGTTCGCTGACTAAGACATGCTTTCTGGGAGGGATTAAGATCAGTTAAAATATTTACATAAATTTAATTCTTGCGTAGTGTCTTAGGTGGAACTCCAAATGAAAACCAAATGCGCAGCCATCAAGTCGATTCAGACTCAGCAGTCTTATAGAGAGATTAACACAGCCCCTGTGGGCTTCTGAGGCTGTACATCTTTATGGGAGCAGAAAGCCTCATCCGTCCTGCAGATCAGCTGGTGGGTTCAAACTGCTGACCTTGAGGTTAGCAGCCCAACTCGCCACCGGTGAAGCTCAGAGGGTAGGAAAATACCCTCACAGGACAATAAAATCTTCTTTGAAGAAATTAAACAAAACAGAGCTGACGTTATTCTCCATAGGATAAACACTTAAAATATGTTTTTGCAATAAAAAAAATTTAAGGTTACTTTTCAATTAAAAAAGAAATTGTTTTTTCCTTGTGGCTAACATATGGAACACCAAGATAATTTTAATCTAAAAATTGATTATGTTATGCTTAAATAATCTGCCAGCCCATATTGGAAGAAACTGTTACAATATACTGGAGGTAAGAAGTAGTGTATTTTTCTGGTCATTGGGCCTAACTCCAATTGGGGGGGCATTTCTAAAATCTTGCTGGTCCAGGTTGAATGTTGGGGTTATACTATGTTACTGTGTCACAAAATAATATGAGCCATCAAGATGCAGCTAATCTTCTCCATGTGCTTGGAGCAAATGAGGGAGGCGGAAACCAGAGAATCAGAAATGAAACTAGCCTGTAGGACAAATGGTCAACATGAATCGCAGCCTCATCTCCTCAAGAGAACTGAATGATGCCCGTTACCACTACACACCATGCTGAACAGGGATACAAGAGATGGACCATGAAAAATGTGCAACAAAACCTAAATTCTTTTGAAACTAGAGCAGTGGTTCTTAACCTTCCTAATGCCGCGACCCTTTTCCAAAGTTCCTAGTGTTGTGGTGAAACACCCCTCCCCACCAACCATAAAATCATTGCTACTTCATAACTGTAATTTTGCTAGTGCTATGAATTGGGTGACCTCTGTGAAAGGGTCGTTCAACCCTCAAAGGGGTCATGACTCACAGGTGGGGAACCGCTGGACTAGAGGAATATCTGAGACTCTTGCCCTGAGAGACCGTGTAAGCTTTACACTGAGTCTCCTCAGGGAGGTCGCTTTTCAGTTAAATAACAGATTAGCTTAAAAAATAATATCACCTGTGAGTGCTGTGCTCCTTTAAAAAACCATCTATAAGTAACTAAACAGTCAACAGTTACTCCAATGCCAAGATGAGATGGGGGTGGGCAGGGAAACTAGAATAATGGAAACGAGCAACTAGAACAGAAATGAGAATGTTATGAAACATGTAACCATTGCCACTGAACAATTTGTATAGAAATTGTTCATTAGAATCTTAATTTACTATGTAAATGTCGGCACATACACCTGCGAAATATTATTTAAAATTTAATGTCATAAATCTTAATGTTTGCCTGGTGCTTTGTAATGCATGAAATACAAATGTTAGAACTAACAAGCTTGACATGGTTGATAATCCTGCTTGCGTATTTTTCTAGTGCGTTAATGATAACATTTATCTCATTATCTCTGTACTAGGAATAGGAGCAGGTTAAGTCACAGAAGCAAAATTTAGTTATATCTTCTAACCAGCAATCAAACGCTGCCATCGAGTCCACTCCTGCTCATGCAACCCTATAGGACAGGGTAGAGCTGCTCCTGTGGGTTTCCGAGGCTGTAACTCTTTATTGAAGTAAAAAGCCTCATCTTTCTCCCAAAGAGCAACTGGTGGTTTCAAACTGCTGACCTTGAGGGTAGCAGCCCAACGTGTAACCACTATGCCACAAGGGCTTCTCTATATTCTCAAAGGAGGGAGAAACATTTCAACTTTGGATTTCCTTTGGAGTTTGAAATGAGTGCTCTATCTCTTCCATCTGTGTGAGCTTGTGATGTATTCCTTGTTGGTGATGAGTTTCTATTATAAAGATCCTAGCACAGTACTAAGCAACCTGGAAGGAGGGTGTGTGTGTGTGTGTGTGTGTGCACGTATATGATTATGTACCCTCCTTGGTGATCTGGATGCTAAGCTAGATGTTACCTTTCTATGTCCTGTGGCAGAACTATTTGAAAAAGAAAATAAAGCTACAGCAGTAAAATTTAGAAAATGAGTTTCAAGAAAAATAAATGATGTGGCTTTGGTGTATGCATTTCAGAAGAGAAGCCAGATTAACTGTACAGCAGGTTTTTGTGGTGTGCTGCAAGAAAGCACCTCACTTCCTAACAATGCTTTGTGAGTTTTGTGAAAAGCATATGCAAGGAGTGTTTTTATAATCCTACTCGGAATTTCAGCAAGTCTTTAAATTTAAAATAATTTTATATGTTAAATCATAGGACTGCCTTGTCTTTCCTTTAAGACTTGCTCTTGTCTGTTTCCATAGGTATTCCTGCAACTCACGGTAAACCCACTAGTTACTCAATCAGGGTAGATAACACAGTTCCCCTTGTGACTCAGGCCGCAGCTGTGCAGCCGCTGCAGATCCGAGCAGGAGTTCTTTCCCAGGTTGGTAACAGTCTGTCCCTTTACCACATGTGCTCTCCTCCTCCCAGGCAGGTGGAGGTCCAGGTCGATTGCAGTATATCAGCCCAGCTGGTTGGGAAAAATAAAAAGGATCTAGATGGGCATGTGGCCCATTGTAGTTTACTGACTTGATTCTTTAATAATTATCAGTTTTTTGTTACCTTGATCAATTTTGGGGGTTAAGATACAGTAAAGATGAAGTCTGTCACAAGTAAAGACAAGTATGTCACTTACCAGTGTTTTGTCTTGTTTGGTTTGGATGCAGCAGGCGTGGTCTGGTAGAACACAGCAGATGCTGGTACCTGCCTGGCAACAGATAGCACCCATGGCTCCTGCTACAACTACACTAACTTCTGAGGGTGTGGCTGGTTCACAAAGGCTTGGAGACTGGGGGTAAATTTTAAAAATATATATATTTTAATAGTACTTCTTGGTGAGCAGTTAGTAAAATAGATATTGGTAAAGAAAGGATTCAACTTCTCTGAACTTTCTTCCTAGGAAAATTATTTCACACAGCAACCATTATAACTCAGTGATGCCGCAGCCTCTGCTCACCAATCAGATAACCCTCTCTGCCCCTCAGCCCATAAGTGTGGGCATTGCACACGTGGTCTGGCCACAGCCTGCCACCACCAAGAAAAACAAGCTCTGCCACAACAGGTCAGTACTGCTGCGTTTCCTTTGCTCTGCACTTTGAGAATTGATCTTTAAAATAAATTTTTGCATGGACACTAAAGGGTCACTCTGTTATAGTCAAAATGACCTCTTTGATAGAGCCTTGCTTACAAACACTAAGCCAGCTCCCTTCTCAATTTCTCAGAGGTATTTTGGTAAAACTAATGGAATGGGAGCCAGGAAGAGAGGAAATAAATGCTTTCAGTTGGTAAGATTGTCTTTATTGCCCTTCTGATTTGTTATCTACTTAAACTGTAGTGATTTTAGACATCAGATAGCACATTTACTCCCTGTAAAAAATGACCATTTGAATGTATATAAATGCAGTTTACATTGGTATTTCCAGATATAATTCTATTTTCTATTTCACAAAAACTAAAGCTTTTTATGCCATTGTTGTTACATACACAGTTTTGAACACGTGAAGGTTCCTGTCCGATTTAACAAATCTTAGAAAAATGTCACGTGCATGTTTTGATTATAGCCATGACATATTATTCCTTTGGTTGTAGGAGTAATTCAATGCAGAATACCAATATTCCCCATTCAGCATTTATTTCTCCAAAGATGGTCAATGGGAAAGATGTCGAGGAAGTCAGTTGTGTTGAAACACAGGACAATCATGACCCAGAAGGAGAGGCAAGAAACGGGTGTGGCACGCCTGTCAGACAGGACTCGGACTCCTCGGGCTCAGACAAACAGCGGCAAACCATCGTCATCGCCGACTCCCCAAGCCCCGCCGTGAGTGTCATCACCATCAGCAGCGACACCGACGAGGAGGAGACGTCGCAGAGGCACTCGCGCCGAGAGTGAGTTGCCCAGCGTCCCGTGGCTGCCCTGGTGTCCTCTGGGGTGGTGGGAAAGCACTTGAGTGGTTCGTTTCACGTGTGTCATGTCCATCAGGCTTTTTAAATGGAGGGAGCTTTCAAAATAGTCTTTAGCATGATGGTTATAGACGCTTTCCACATTTCACACTTCAGATTTTTGTCTGTGGAAGGTCATTCTGAAATGCTCCTTAACTTTGGTTGAATAATACACATTTTGGCTATTTGTGCAGCCTTCTCAGTTTTGATACATTTCCTCCTTTCTTCTCCATTAGATGTAAAGGGAATCTCGATTGTGAAGCTTGTCAGAGCACTTTGAATATTGACCGGATGTGCTCACTAAGTAGTCCTGATAGTACTTTGAGCACCAGCTCCTCCGGGCAGTTCAGCCCATCCCCTTGCAAGAGACCCAACAGGTAAAGGAATGTTAATAGCAGTGTATATATACTTTAATATCACACCTACTAAGAAGTCTATGACTTATTTTTGTTGTTGTTTAAAATATTTGCCTGCTAGTTAACCATAGTGCTTTCTTTTCTGAACCTAAGTTTTGAACAAGTCCACTTTTTAAAAATGTAGGATTTATCAGTTTTTGTAATATTTCAGAATAACTCTAAATGTGAAATTGGAGAACTAATTTTGTAACAGTCGTCTGTTTTTAAGAGGGTAAAAAACACATCTTACCAACTTTGGCTTTGCGGACTATCATTGTACTTAATCTCAAGATTAAAATATATACCTTAGCAAAAAAAAAAAAAAAAAAGAACTGGTTTGCATGGTGTTCTAGAGTCACTCGTTGATAGGAGAGCAGCCACTATAATTTTCTCTCTCCCACTGGTGATTGAGTTGCATGGTTTCATCTCTTATCTCCTGTCATTCTCGTGGTCAAGGACCATGCACAGTTGTCAAAGCAGCAAGCGTCTCCTCACATACTGTAAGCTAAACTGAAGTCACAAAAAAGTTTCAATGTAGTACCTTTGATTTTTTTTAAGTTGCTTCTTAATCTTAATTTTATACATTTGATTTCTCTTTCCTAGTCAGGAAAACCAAACAAAACTCACCACAAGTGAGTCAATTCTGATACATGGCGACCCTACAGGGCATGGTAGAACTGCCTCTGAGGGTTTTTGAGACTGTAACTCTTTACAGGAGTAGAAAGCTTCAACGTTCTCCTGAGGAGTGGCTGGTGGTTTCGAACTGCTGACATTGCAGTTCAGTCCAATGTGTAACCACTATGCTGCCAGGGCTTCTCAGTTACGAAATAGAGTATCAAATACTCAAAATTAATCTCTGTTGAAGACGCAAAGACGTTTATTTAACACACCTACTTCTCACAAGTTACTATGATAGTATTTGGAAGATAATGTAAACATATTAAAAGAGATTGCACATTAAAACAGTACGTGTGGTACAAATCCCAAGGAGAGAGACAGGGCCTGAGTAGGCCAGGAGAGATGAGAGAGGGGAAGAAGACCTGACGAATAACTGGCTAACGGAAGTCAGGTACCCACTCCTGGCACATTAGATGGCACATTAGAATTTAATCTGTCCACCATTCACATGCTTATTATATATGTGTGCCTTTCACTCAGATTATCCAAAACAATGCTTCTGCAATAGTATCTTGGTGAAATTATCCAGAATTTATAAAGGAGCATTTTATTAGCTGTTACTAAGATCAAGTAGAAGGGAGAAAGTAGAGAAAATTCAGGGTCAAAGGGGGGTTCCTGAACAAGACAGAATTAGAGTAAGCAATCTGAAGAAAGAAATGATTATGAGGGTTTAGAAAGTCTATGAAAAAAATTATTGGACAAGGAAACATGTGTTATTAGATACAAAACTGATTAAGAGCCTTAGCAGGTTCCTTGAGCCTGGATGTCATTTAACTGTAGATTTAATGTTGGGAAAACATTGTTCATAAAAATGCTTTCCTGATGTAGCATGTCAGATGAAGAGCAAGAAAGTGGCTGTGATACTGTGGATGGCTCTCCAACATCCGAGTCTTCCGGGCACGGCAGTCCGTTTGCAGAGAACAGCTTTGTGGAGAACACTCATCCGAACACAGACCTGGTAACCTCCTCGGACACGAAAACCAAACCAGCTGTTTGCACTGTGGGGGTGCCGCCACTGGGGCTGGAAAACGGATTAAATGCCGATGAGCATATGACAAACACAGGTAGGTGGAATCCTCTGTTTCCCTCATTGTTGTTTAAAGGGTCTTGATTTAGCAGTATCAGAGAACCTCGTTGTCAGAAGCCACCTCTCAGTTTCCCACTTGACCCTACCATGCTTGTCATCCAGAAGAAAGCTCATCATCCAGCACTGGGGAGCATGAGCTCGCTTTTTTTTTTACTTAATTTTAAGTTCTGTATGTACTCTCACGTAAGATAGCTAACGTCCATTTGAATGTTCTTGTTTAGAGAAGAGAAAGCCATCAACTCTCTAACATTTTGTTTGTTGCCAGATTCTCCATGCCAGCCATTAATAAAAGGACGGCCTGCTCCTGGAAGATCACATCAGCCTTCGGCAGTGGGCAGTCGTCAGCAGAAATTGACATCAGCATTCCAGCAGCAGCATTTGAACTACAGTCAGGTTTGTTTGTTTGTTTGTGTAGAGTCTTGGGATTCAGATGTAACCTTTTCTCTCACTTGGAGACAAAGGGATTCTGGAACTCTACAGTCTTAATAAGTTTTTCTCTTATCTGAACTAGCTAAAGAGTTGATAGGCCTAATAAGAGATGATTAAGCAGATTACTCATGGCGTTTCTTCAGAAAGAGTAGGTTTCTAGATTGTCTTAGCTATTTGTTGAGTGTGTTTGTTGTTTGAGATCTGTTACTCAGCATGTACAGTGATGCACTGATGGTGGTATTTTTTATGTGATATGGTGGGGTCCATTCACTTTATCAGTTACTTTTCATTGATTCAGCCTCATGGTTGTCAGATTGTGTTTTAGTTGGGGCAACAAAGATCCATAAACATTAGAGTCAGACTTTGGGTTCCAATTCTGATTTTATCAAATGCTGCTTATAATGTGGTCTTGGCCATGTCTCTTCACGACAGATCTGGGCATCAGTTAATGGGAATAATAGCTATATCATGAGGCTGTTTAAAATGGAATAAAGCTGTGTACGTAGAGGAAGTTTAACTTGACATATATTAAGTGCTCCATAAATGGTAGTTTTCAGTTGTGGTGGAGATGGTAACAGTACCAGCAGCAGAGTAGCAATGTTACTGTTGTTATAGTATGTAGTAGTAAATATAAAAATGATAGCACTAGTACATGTGAAATTGATTTTTTTTCCTTTTTGTACTTAGTATAATCTAGTTCTGAAAAGATCCACTCATTGTTATCAGTCCTAACAGACTATAGTAATTTCCTTTTCTTTTCAATTTTATAAAATTTGTAATTCAGTTGTTTTTTCTTTGTGGATAGGTTCAACACTTTGGATCTGGACATCAAGAGTGGAATGGAAACTTTGGCCATCGACGACAAGCTTATATCCCTACTAGTGTTACCAGTAATCCATTCACTCTTTCTCATGGAAGTCCCAGTCACACAGCAGTGCATGCCCATCTGGCTGGAAGTGCTCACCTTGGAGGACAGCCTACTTTCCTTCCATACCCATCATCAGCTGCCCTCAGTAGTGCTGCACCAGTGGCCCACCTCTTAGCCTCTCCATGTACCTCAAGACCTATGTTACAGCATCCAACCTATAACCTCTCCCATCCCAGTGGCATAGTTCACCAAGTCCCAGTGGGCATAAATCCCCGTCTGTTACCATCCCCAACCATTCATCAGACTCCGTACAAACCAATCTTCCCACCACATTCTTACATTGCAGCGTCACCTGCATATACTGGATTTCCATTGAGTCCAACAAAACTCAGCCAGTATCCATATATGTGAAAACTCAAAACAGTATATTGAGGAAGCTCAATGAAATAACCATTTGATTAAAAATAAAAACATGGTATTTAATAAATATTAGCCATGGCACAAGAAAATTATTTTTGAATCATGTAGACTTGGGTGCAATTTAAACAACTTTGAGCTTTAAAAAAAACTCACTTTTAATGTGTTTTGCACATTTGGTATAACTTGTCTTTGGTCATGTTATCTTCTTATGTAGTAACTCTAGACAGGTGACTTATGGGAGCAGAAGTCCAGTTTTGCTCCTGCTATTTTTTATAAAATTGCCTTCTAACTAGTGCAAGACACGTCCACATTTGGGAAGCCATTCTGTGTACAGACTTAGAGCAACAGATGCACATATGTCAGAATTACAGCATACAAGTGAAGTGTATTATCTCTGTCTTAGTGTGTAAATGTTGGGTCACTTACCTAAGAAGTTGAGCTATTGTTCTTTACATTTGCATGTGTCTTTTGCATGGGCAAAATGTTGCCTAGACTTTGCTCTTAAATGTTGTTCTAATAATCTCAGCTGCATTGTAAACCGTTCCCACACATAGTGCCTTAAATATTTGAGGTTGTTAATGTTATTACTTATTATAAATGTTGAGGACTGCAGCACTTAAAATCCAGACCTACTCTTTTCTTTTGATAGAGTAATGTTCTTTTTGGGTTTTGTGTGGTATGATTTTGGATAGTAACTGTTTTTTCTTTATTAAGAGGGCAGCATGTTTGCTATAGCTAAATTCTGCTGTCTGATTTTTCAGAATGATCTAGCTTCAAGAAAAGCAAGCAGTTTGTAGTGCTTAAGAAAAATTAATTCAGTATCTAATGGATAGTTGATAACTGTCACAACACGGCATTTTATATAATGTTAAGTGAAACTGCAATACAATCTAGGTTTATTTTGGGAGTGTTTGCTGTATAATTGGATTTAATAAAATGTTTAGAGATATGCAGTAGGCATGACTTTGAATAGATAAAGGAAGAAAATGCAAAATGCTCATTGATTCATGATGTGGTTTCATCTTAGCTTGGGCAAACCATGCAGTATTTAATAAATAGTAGCAGAATATTTACTATTGAAGCTTGAAAAGATGTGAGTTCTTTGTGTGCAATTTTTCATTTATGCATGTGAGAGGGTTTTTTAAAAAAATATTTTTACATTGTATTTGTTTTGCTTGTTGGTGGTGTTTGCTTATTTAATACATTCCGTCAGGGACAAAAATTACATGCTTTTTCCCCCCCTTCCCTTAGGAAGTATGTCTTGGGTTTTACCCCCTTTATTGAATTCATTTCTTTCTTTTTTTGTGGTGGTGGTGATGTTTAAATGAAGTTGCTTTTACAGCACCAAAGACTTTATCATCCATTTCCTATATAAAAGGTAGCTACTTTTTGCATAGACCTCGAGTATATTGTAGTGTAGAGATGGAATTTAAGAAAGGTATTAAACTGAGGCTGTGTTTTAGCTTACGGGCAAGTAATAAATTGTATCATTTATCTTGAATGTATCATAGATAAGCTGCTATATAACGATTGCCACTTCAGATAGCTGTGAAATTAGGTGATTAACTAGTTGTTACTTAGCCTTCTAATTTCTGTATAAGTCTAATTACATGAAATAGAATTTGGGGTTTTGGTTTTTTGTTGTTTTTTTTTTTTTAACTTGGCTTTCTGTTTGGAGTGTCATTGTAACTACTGTACTGTAAATGATGGAAAATAATTGCTTATGTTATTTTGGAGTGTGTTATTTGCATCAGTATTTTATCTCTATTAATGTTTGTGCTCATCACTGCATATAAAAACAACTTGGATGTATCAATGTAACTTGATTTTTTATTTTCATACTGGTATTGTAGACACTTGATTGAGAAAGCTGTATCTTGCAGGCTTGACTTAACTTTTTTTTCCTTAAAAATCTGGAATGTAATCTTACAGCATTTACTGGAATACAGAGTACAAAACAGTTGGGTGTAGACCTCTCCAAATGTTTTGGACTTACAGCATTTCTTTGGTGAATGAGTTGCATACCACTAGTACAGCGCTGACAATAAGCTAATAATGGACAAACATTTCTTTACTCCATTAACACAAGCAGTGTTTTATTTAATAATCAATGAAATGTGCCTGAAATTGGTTTTTAAAAATTACAGTATTAGATCATAAGATGAAAACCAGCAGTACATTTTTAGTCACACTGAAAATGAAGGACTTAATTTTCCCCACAAGTTTCAGTGTTTTTAGTAATCAATTCTATGCATTTTATATAAATATAAATATATAGCTAAATATAGTACACATAAGGAAGGAGTGGCCTGATTAATTTAAAAGATAATACACAGATGACAAATTTCTGGAGTCACCGTTTAACCCTTTCATGGCCCGTGGGACATATATCACCCGCCAACATTTTCAACCTCTCAGCTTTCTTGGGAACCTGATCGCCCAGTGGTACGTAGTCTGTGCCTGGCGGGGACTTGTGTAACTGTGTGTGAACCTAAGGAAGTAGGCCTTACCCAAGCAATCCTACCACAAGAGTCCACCTGGGACTTCTGTGCCCTGTATAATTGTATCAAAGCCCATATTACCTCAGACCAGCTTTTTTTATCTCTTATTTTCAGCATGCCTGTCATTACTGAAAATACTTATCAAAATAAAGATCCAAGCAGAAAGTGGTTCAGTCATGAAAGGGTTAAGCAATGTTGCCGCTCTCCAGAGCCTTTTACTTTAAAGTGTCACACATCCAGGGGATGCTGGCCTTTGCTCCCTTCTTGGAAATGAAATCAGTGCTGGGCGTGGGTATTTCAGAAACAGCACGTACAAGTACAGAACTGGCTCAGCTTGATTTTTTTTCAGGGTCCAATTCAAATGTTCCCTGACATGTCTTATTTTCTGTATTTAAGTTTCAAGACCGAGATCGTCTTGCTAAATGGACAATAAATGGTAAAATTCAACATTTTCATAAACAATCATAATGTTTGATAACCCCAGTTAAGTACACTGTTCTTAATTGATTATAATCATGGACTTTTTAATGTATCTAAAAGAAAACCATTTTTAAATTCTACTAATCTGAATTTAGTTTATTGACAAAAAGAATCTGGGTAATGTCTTTAAAACCATTTTTACCAGTTTTCTTGGTTTTAATTGCCTTTTTAAATAAAACACTGCATGACTTCCCATTTACATATTTGCATACTATTTTAATTCACAAGTGATTTTAAATGAAATATCCTGATATTTAGTTTGTTTTCCCTTTGGAGTTTTTAATTAAAGATGTTACTGTAATAGCAAAATCATTTTCGTTTTTAAAATCTACTAATTTTAAACTTTGTGTTAAGTAAAAGTTAAATCATACACTGCAAGGTGTAGAGGATTTGTTTTAATGAACCCAGTGATAGATATTTGATGATTAAGTTTGACTTGTTAACTGTCTAACAGTTGTAGACTGTGGCTTTCTTCTTGGGTTTGTTTGTTTTTGCTTTGACTTCTGTGCTACACTCGTTTGCCATGTAGCAATTGCACTGTGCAATATTACAATAAGGACTGGGAAAAAATTTTATGGATGTAATGTCTATTACGGTTTGCGATAGTATTTCTCTCTAGTTCTCAGTGATTTAAATGTGACCAAGCCTTCTGTACTTTGTCACAAAAAGCGGGTTTTCCAGGTGACTCTTTTGGTGAGTGTCAAAATAAGAATTTATGGTGTATTACTGTCGATTCACTTTGAATTAAAATATATATATTGCAGCAAACAGCTTGTTGACTTTTTTTCCATCCCAGAGTACTTGTTGTAGGGTAGGGAAGGGAAAAGGTTAATGACCTACCCAACTAATGTCATCTCATTTCATTTTTATTTTATTTTTTTAATCATTTTATTAGGGGCTCATACAACTCTTACCACATTTTCCCCCTTCCTCCCTACTACCCCCTCCCTCATGAGCCCTTGATAATTTATAAATTATTATTTTGTCATATCTTGCCTTGTCCAACGTCTCCCTTCACCCACTTTTCTGTTGTCTGTCCCCCAGGGAGGAGGTCACATATAGCTCCTTGTAATCGGTTCCCTCTTCTCATTTTATTTTTAAAACCACCCTGTGAGTTAAATGTTGTTATGTTCATTACAGAAATGAGGGAATAGCCTCAAAAAGTCTAGGCAACTGACCTAAGTCCCACGGCTAATGGGTGGTTAATGTGAGATAGGAACTAGACTATCCGTCTGTAACTGCTCTGCTGTCCACCAGTTCTTTCTTTCCAACTGAAGCTTGAGGCCATGTGCCACAAGCACCTGCAAGCAGAGAAGAGTCAGGACTCACCTGCCATCACCATTAAGTTTCCTCAAGCATTTTTGGGTGGAAATGTTTTTGTTTGGTATGCATGGGTGAAGAATGTAGAGCTCACGTGATTTCTTTTCCCTTGATATGTAAAACATGAGACTTCAAAAGAATGTGATTGTAGTAGGCCCATATCCTCAAATGGCACCCACACTTGAAGGTTCTGACTTTAGAGGGACACATGTGTAGAAAAGCTTTGGGGGGAAGCCCTTCACCAGAGCACACTGGCAAATACATGTGCTCGACCTCTCTTTCAATAAATTGAAACTGAATTTTAACTTAGATGCACTCTTTTGTGTTTAGCTTCTTTCAACATTTTATTTGTAAGATACATTTGTGTTGGGTGTATTTGTGGTTTATTCCTTTGTCTGCATGCACCATTAATTATTGCTGGACATTTTAGCAACTGCTAAGGTTTTTGGTGATTGGGATTACAAATAGTGTGTCTATGAACATGTTCGTCCATATTGTTTGGTGCACATTTGTATATTTTAGTGGGGGGCGTGGGCCTAGGCATAAAATTCTTAGGTTATAGGTTATGCACGTTTCACTTTAGTAGATGCTATCAAACAGTGTGCCACAGTGACCCAGAGCATTTATACTTGCTGGTAGTGCACGTTAATGCGAGTTGCAGTTGCTTGATGTCCTCCCAACACATTCAATTATGTTGTTCCTTTCATGAAGTTGTTTTTTGAGTGGGTGTGACGTGTCCAAAATAATATGAACATTTTAAATTTAGCCAACAGCACACTGATCCTACATATACATGAATCCCATTTATTTCAGTGTCCTTGAAAGTAAATTGGGTTCTTGAGAATACTAAATGTTTTTATTTAAATGAATCTAGGAATGTATTTAAAGGGGCAATAAGGTGAGAAAGATATAGAGCAACAGAAACTATTTGCCAAACAGTGCCTGGCACATAGTAGGTGTTCATGAGCCATTCACATATTTATATCCTTCACTTTCAGGCTTAGGAACTTTGTCTCTAGAAGTTTTGGGTTATGCCTGAGAAGTTTCTGTGACTGTGGCCCTTGCGTGCTCTGTTGTCTGTATTAACATACATGTAACAATTATATATGCCTTCACCATTATTCATGTGTCTTCCACCTGCTTAGTAATTTACTCTCTCTTACCTCCTATCACTAACCAACAAATCCCCCAACCCCTATGTGTAAATCTTTTTTTGTTGGTGGTGGTCTTAAACATTTGTCCTTTTGTGATTGACTTATTTCATGTAGCATAATGTCCTCCAGACTCATCTGTTCTTTATCTGAGTGAGATGTTTTTTCTGATTCATCATCATTCTTCACAGTTAAGTTGTATGAGGGGGTACCTCCCCCAAACCCTGATTTTTTTCAAAGCTATGTATGTAAATTTTTTTACTAAACCGTATCACCTTCAAAAGTGTTCTCCATTACATTTAATACTTGTCAAATCTTTGATTTCATTCTTGGAAACATTTTTCAAACTCGACGGCTGACTACCTCCCTCATTTTTTTCTTCACCTCTTCTACATCATCAAATTGCTGTCCTTTTACGTCCCTCTTCATTTGCAGAAGCAAAAAGAAGTCGCACAGAGTGAGGCCAGGTGAGTAAGGTGCATGGGGCCACAGAGACATACTGTTTTTTGCCAAACATTGGTGCACTGAGATGGCTGTGAGCAGGTGCATTGTCATGGTGGGAAAACTAGTTCCCTTTGTGCCACAAGTCAGGCCTTTTTGGTCACACACTGTTACACAATCTTTTCAGAATCCCTAAATAGAAAGCTTGATTAACAGTCTGACCTGGTAGAATGAACTCCAAATGCTCCATGAATCAACATTTTCTTCCGTTCAGGAAGTTGACTGGTGTCTAGAACAAGGTTTGTCATCAATCGACATTTCACTTTTTTTGAAATGAGAAAACCACTCATACACTTGAGTTTTCCCCATAATGCTGCCCTTGTAAGCTGTGTTCAACATCACAACTGTTTCTGCAGCATTTTTCCCAAGCAGAAAACAAAATTTCACAGCTGCACTGCTGTTCTCTTAAATTGGTCATAAACAACAAAGTTCAAGCAAAATTACTTTTATGAAAAAACTCACTGCGACCCTCCCAAGCGATGCCACTGGGTGCACTAACTCAGAACAAGTTGCTTAATGCTTGCCAATGAGGAAAAATGTGTACTATGAAAGCTCTACTCCACCCAGCGCAATCCCATTTATTTTCGGGGGGGGGGGGGCGGATAACCCCTCATTCCACTTTGTGTATGTGCCATAGTTTGTTTAGCCATCCATTTGTTTATTGGCACATAAGTTGTTTACATCTTTTTGCTGTGATGAAGAATGCTGCAATGCACATGTCATGGTGCTTATGCATTCAGAGTACATACTTAGAAGTGAGGTTATATAGTATTTCTGTATAGCTTTTTTATATTTAGAGAGTATTACAAAGTAAAACGTCCATTTTCTTTTTAATATAGACAGTATGTTTTAAATGGAACACGACAACTACAGAGACATCATCTGGATGAGAGACCAATATCAGAAGGTCATAATGGTATCTAAAGTATGTCTGGCTTTTTAAGGAAGCACCATGCCATTTTTCCACAGGAGGAAGACTTTCTACTTGCATAAAGAATTACAGTCTCAGAAACTCAAAGGGGCAGTTCTACTCAGTTCTAAAGGGGGTCTAAGAGTTGGCATCAACTTGATGGCAGTAAGGTGAGATACCAGTTTCCACAGTGGTAGTACTAGTTTACATTGGCAGCAGCAACACGTAAGAGTTCCAATCTTTCCACAATCTCATCAACATTGTTATTTTCTGGTTTTGGATTTATTTTATGTGAAAATAAATTTTCTGTTATTTTGATTGCAATCTTGTCTATTTTGTCTATGCAATCTTGTTGTTGATCCTTTAGATATCTACTTGCTGTTTTGTTCTTACATCTTTGTACTGTTTTCCTGAATTATGTTGCTCTGTATTTTCCTTGCTTTCATGGGTAACCCTACATATTAGTCTTTTGAATTATTTATCAGGTAGTTCCATTACTATTCCTCTGGAAGGCTTTCTAGTTATTTATTTTGGTCATTTTCAGCTTTTGTCCAGCTTCTACGTGTGATTTGCTAGTCTTTTGTCTTCGAGACATTATTTATTTATTGTGTTTATTTGCTGCATTTTTAGTTTCATGTTGATAATCTCAAAGTTGATGGTGTGTGTGTGCTATGCTGGTCTCTGGCACATTGGATTTCTCACCACTTGTCTTCTGGAAGCTGGAGCAGCAGTGGGTGTGTGAGCCCCTGCATCTACTCATAGGCTTTGAGGTGGCTGAAGATATAGCTGTCATTGCTGGTGAGGTGATTTGCCTGTCCAACCAGTCACATGGGCGGTACATGCAGTGTTCTCATTGGTTGTTGTGTGTGTGTAATATCAGTTACTGGATGATCAGGGCAAGGCTGCCTGGCTCATTCATTGGCCACTGGGCGAATGGTTCAGTTATCAGTAACTCTTCCACGCAAGCAGGGCTGCACAGGAGAGTCAGAACCACACAAGTCTGTGGTTGTGGGGAGCAGGGTATTGAGGACGCTGCCAGTCCATGGTCCCTGGGTGATTAGTGGGCGGGTGTGCACCTGTGTGCTAGAGCACAACAGGGCACTTGTGCTGCCAGCCTCGGGTCTCCAGCACAAGTGGCTGGAGGGAAAAAGAGGTATCGATGCAGGTGACTGCGTGCAGGAGCTGGCGATGCTTCGTCTCAGGGTGGCTGTACTGTGCAGGTTTGGTTACAGGGCGCTAGCAATGCAGACTTCTCTGTCCACTCTTTGTGTATAGTCTTTGCTTCTACTTGGTACCCAGTCCAATCCTTCGGCCTTGCCTTTGATGCTTAGGGCTCCAAAGCTGTCACCTGTTCCTGACGCACTTGTTTTCTTGGGTCCTTATTATAAGAGCGATTTTATGAGCATCTGCTTATACCACCTTCTTGGACTACCTCTCTTCTCATTTTCTTTCTTTCTTTTTTTTTTTTTAAACCAATCCATTTTTAATTCTTAAATTCTTGACATTACAGAACTAAACTGAAATTTTTTTTTCCTCTTTTAACATTTTATTAGGGGCTCATACAACTGTTATCCCAATCCATACACACATCAATTGTGTAAAGCGCATTTGTACATCGTTTCTCAAAACATTTTCTCTCCATTTAAACCCCCGACATTAGGTCCTCATTTTTCCCCTCCCTCCCTGCTCCCCCCTCCCGCATGAGCCCTTGATAGTTTATAAATGGGTATTTTGTCATATCTTGCCCTGTCTGACGTCTCCCTTCATCCACTTTTTGGTTGTCTGTCCCCCAGGGAGGAGGTCACACACAGTTCCATGTAATCGGTTCCCTCTTCCCTACCCATTCTCCCTTTACCCTCCCTGTTTTGCCACTCACACCACTGGTC